ATATATAGTCACTTATTCAGGCTACAGCAGTTTAGCCTGACCCATTCACACTGAAGTTATAAGAAGTGTTTCAGCACGACTGCTTTACATACTATAACATGAGTTATAACTGTTTTTGGTACATAAAACCACACATACTTTATAAATGGACCAACAAGAAAAATGTAGCGTATGGGAAGCAGCTAATCTAAAGTTTCAGGCAAAAAAATATATCAAATTGTCTACACGTGATTATATTGACAAAAAAACTTACAATACAATATTTATCTGTGCTTTTTGTAGAAATTTTTCACTGGAAAGATTTTACAGCCAACGATTAGTCGGGCCTTATAATAGTAATACAGCAAAAAACAAAGTACAGAATCAGACATAAAGCTGGGAAAACAACACGCTTTGAATTTTCCTTAAATGCTGGGAGAGCAGAGCTCTGAGAACTGTAACTAAAAAAGCTTTTCAGATGTACAAAGCCAAAAACTGGCACAAAGTGAGCACATTAATCTTTTTCAGAGGGCTCATATCTTACTATTTTTAACCTCCCTGAAGTCCACTTTTATGACCCAAAAAACAGACCATTTTCCCACGCCTCTTTATTCCCTTAATCTGGCTGTTTTTGTTGCTGTGGCTTTAAAACTGACATATGTATATGAGTGTGAGTGGGTGTGGCTAAACTGCTTTTGGTTGAATAGGTAGATATATGTATCACAGAAATAATTGATTAATTCATAATGAGAAGAAAAACATCGTGTGACAGTCATTCTGTCTGAGTGCTGCTGATACTTACGCTAAACGTGTCTTCTGCGATACAGGAGGGCTATTAAGAGTCCCAGGATGATGAGGCCAAAGACGAACACAATAACAGTAACGATGCCCCACTTAAAGCCTGGACCGGCTGAAAAAAGAAAAAAAAAATAGCCAACTTAATTCTGAGCCAGCGTTAAAGAGTGATCTTCTTTAGACACTGTGCAACAACCTCGATCAATAACGTGTCTTCAACAGCAGGTTTAGGTGGAATGGAATATAAACATGAGTGTTTGGTATTTAAAGCAGCCAAAAATCAAATATACCCAACATTCCACCTCATCATAAACACAGTCAACAAACCAGAACTGTTTTAGAGGCTAATGCGGCTGTTACTAATGTGAGCTTGTGATTTGTACAATTGTACAAAAATAAAAACATCAGAAAACTAAAACAAAACTATCCACTGCAAAAATAAATAAAATGAAATGGAATCACTTAGTAAGGCGGCACGGTGGCGCAGTGGGTAGTGCTGTCGCCTCACAGCAAGAATGGCCTGGGTTCGATTCCCGGCCGGGTGACCAGGGTCGTTTCTGTGTGGAGTTTGCCTGTTCTCCCCATGTCTGCGTGGGTTTCCTCCGGGTACTCCGGTTTCCTCCCACAGTCCAAAAACATGCAGTCAGGCTGATTGGACATGCTAAATTGCCCCTAGGTGTGAGTGTGTGTGTGGATGTATATGTCTGTTTGTCTGCCCTGCGATGGACTGGCGACCTGTCCAGGGTGTATCCTGCCTTCCGCCCGATGACAGCTGGGATAGGCTCCAGCACCCCACTGCGACCCAGAAGGATAAGCGGTTTAGATGATGGATGGAATCACTTAGTTTACTTATAGTTATTTTAGTGTGTAAATAAGAGTATAGAAGTGTGTTACTTTTCAGAAAAAAAAACACAACACAACTTTAACTATTTGTCAAGTCAAGTCATAGTTTATTTATATAGTCATTATCACAAAGCAGCTTTACAGAAAAATCCGGGTCCGAGCCCCCATGAGCGTCGCCAATGGGGACAGTGGCAAGGAAAAACTCCCTAAGCGCAAGAGGAAGAAACCTTGAGAGGAACCAGGACTCAAAAAGGGTACCCACCCTCCTCTGATCCACACCAGATAGCAAACAGTGTTAGTATAAAATATTAGAATACAAAACGTGGAAAAAAGAGGTGGAGCAATGATTAATTAGATCGTTTAAGTTTATACAGCAGCAGCATCATCATCAGAAGGGTCAGTTCATGCAGGTCAGGTTTGCACAGCTTTGTATAGCGTGAAGCTCCATGGTGGTCAAAATGGTCCAGATCAGCCAACGGAGATGGAGCTCTGGTGACTCTAGCAGCTCTGGTGGCTCCCATGTGGCGACTTAGGCAAAGATGATTCCACAATTTTGGGACTACATAGAAAAATGCTCGACCACCTGCTGTGGTTTTTCTAATTCTAGGAACTGTCAGTAAGCTGTTGTTTTGTGAGCGGAGCGTACATTTGGGTTCGTATGACTGAATTAATTCACTAAGATACTGCTGAGCCAGGCCATTTAACGATTTAAATGTTGAGAGAAGGATCTTATAAATTTAACAGGTTTGTCACATCTGCTGCCAGTTCCCCTCCATGTCAGCAGAGGTCTCACTCTCCTCAGTGCGGAGACCATTCTGTGGACTATTTAAGAGACATGTTGGCCCAATCCCATTTCACCCCTCGCCCCAATCACTTAGCCCTTAGCCCTCCGTTTTGCATGTTCACGTCTAGGGGTAGGGTGTCCTGATTGTTGTTGAGATAGAGGGGTAGGGCAAAGCATCATGGCTACATGGCCCAAACTGAGGTTTTTCAGAATCACACTCCAAACAGTGTTATGAGAAAAGAACAGCAAGATGGCTGCGCAAGCGAACAAAGAAAAACACAAATGTGACAATTTTCTCTATTAAAATTACAATAACTTTTGTATTATCTTTAGTTTAATGTCATTTCAGTATATTATGGTCCTTTTTTTCATAACAAGCATAAAAATCGCTAATAGTACGCCAATGTCTTGGTAGCTAGCTACCTAAATTTCCCATTCCATCTTAAATAGTCCAGCAGTACTGATGCCTGAAGCAGCAGAATGTAACTGCTGCTCCACTTAAGGTGGAACGGGAAAATTCAAACAAGAAGCTGCTGAATAGCTGACTTCAGCTTCATCTCACCAAAAAATTTGTGGTGGACAATGATAAACAACTATTGCACCCCTCCCTCTTTGAAGGCATTTGATGTCCTAAATGTAACTAAAGCCCAGCAGTGAGGTTACTGAACCCTCCTCTGCTATCATTGCAGACTGGCAAGGTCACCTACAGAGCAGCGGTAGTAGCCTGTTAATGAAATAATGCTCTTCTTTATTTGAGGGTTGTCCCATTTTGGAAGGGAAGATTTCAACCACTACCCCTTGTAACTCAAGGGGAAGGAGACACTCGAAAACAAGGGGTAGGGGTAAAAGTAAGAAATGGGATTCGGCCATTAGACCTAGTGCCAGAGGCAGCAAAACAACCCCAAAACATCTTTGAACCTCCACCATATTTGACTGTAGGTACTGTGTTCTTTTCTTTGTAGGCCTCATTCCATTTTCGGTAAACAGTAGAATGATGTGTTTTACCAAAAAGCTCTATCTTGGTCTCATCTGTCCACAAGACGTTTTCCCAGAAGGATTTTGGCTTACTCACGTACATTTTGGCAAACTGTAGTCTAGCTTTTTAATGTCTCTGTGTCAGCAGTGGGGTCCTCCTGGGTCTCCTGCCATAGCGTTTCATTTCATTCAAATGTTGACGGATAGTTTGTGCTGACACTGATGCACCCTGGCCTGCAGGACAGCTTGAATTTCTTTGGAACTTGATTGGGGCTGCTTATCCACCATCCGGACTATCCTGCGTTGCAACCTTTCATCAATTTTTCTCTTACATCCACGTCCAGGGAGATTAGCTACAGTGCCATGGGTTGTAAACTTCTTGATTATGTTGCGCACCGTGGACAAAGGAACATCAAGATCTCTAGAGATGGACTTGTAACCTTGAGATTGTTGATATTTTTCCACAATTTTGGTTCTCTTCTCCTCTTTCTGTTCTCCGTGCTTTGTGTGGCACACACAGACACACAATGCAAAGACTGAGTCGACTTCTCTCTTTTTTTATCTGGTTTCAGGTGTGATTTTTATATTGCCCACACCTGTTACTTGCCACAGGTTAGTTTGGACGAGCATCGCATGCTTGAAACAAAGTTATTTACCCACAATTTTGAAAAGGTGCCAATAATTTTATCTGACCCATTTTTGGAGTTTTGCATGAAATGATCTTTTTTTTTGTGTGTGTTATTCCAATACACACAAAGGAAATAAACATGTGTATAACAAAACATGTGTAATTGCAATAATTTTCTGGGAGAGATACTAAAAATTTCAGGGGTGCCAACACTTTCGGCCAAGACTGTATTCTTTAATCTCTAATATTTTATTGCGTTTATAAAGTTGAGTATTATGTCCAAGTATTAAATAAGTATTATTTGTATTAAGTACTGTTCACTTGCCTAAAACAAACTAAAGAACTATATTTTTCAGGTTTTTTGGCCGCTTTAGTGTGAAAAGACAGACTTTGGTTAGATAACGTCTGAATAAACACCTTTAGAATCAGGGATATGCTTTTCCTGTTTCCTTATCATATCATAATCTGAGCTAACTAACCCTGTAAGGAGACGTTGGGTCAGCCTGAATTTTGATGTGTTAACATCCTGTTTAGGATGAAATTTAGTTGATCCTACATCTGTACCCCTATACTGAAATGCTTTATCAATAATCTACTCCTACTTCCAAGTTCCGCCCACAAACATAACTGTCCTAAGCTTTACAGAATGCTGGTAAAAAATCCCATTCAACCGAAAGAGAAACTGTAGAACAGACTCAGTTTATATTACAGTACCTACATTTAGAGTCAGTTATTCATTCAACCTAATGAGAAACTGTAGAACAGACTCAGTTTATATTATAATACCTACATTTAGAGTCAGTTATTCATTCAACCTAATGAGAAACTGTAGAACAGACTCAGTTTAAATCACAACAGCTTGTCCAATCTCACAACAATATCTACATTTGTGGGCCGAGCCTGGAGAGGTTAAATCAAATTAACACACCCCCAGATCATCTTCACACCTCACATAACTTTCCTGCTAAAACTTCCTGAAAGAAATCAAACAGTTACCTCTAATATTCAGATGGGACGTGGTCTCTCCTTCTTGGACGAATTTGCTGTTGAGAACGACACACCTGAAAGACTCCCAGCTCAAGTCGATCTTAGCGAAGGTCAGTTTGCTGGACAGATGTACCAGTTTGTCCTCTCTCTCTCTGATCTCTAGTGTGGCGCTCTTCGTCCAGTTGGTGTTGGTGCTGTCAAACCAGTGAATGGCTCCTGCCGGATAGCCACCACTAGCGTTGCAGTAAAGGTCAGCAGGGCCGCCATCTTCAATCATTTCTGGCCATGAGCTGATGGACGGTGGGTTGTACTTGGCTAAACAGGGAAAAAATATGTGCAGTTTTAAGTGAGTCCTGTTAAAAGGCTGTGTAGCACTTGAACTGGTACAGAATAGCGGTTGCCAATAATGGTCCTGCATGTTTTTGCATTCTTCCTGCTCTTAAACAAATGGTTCTCCTCAAGAAGTGGTTAATTTAATATTTAATGGCAGGAATGTTGAAGGAGGGAGAGCATGAGTCCAGGACCAGGTTTGTACTCAGCCTACTGTATTGCTGGCAGAATATATTCAGTTACAGAGAATATAAAGTGTAAACCAGTTAAAAACAGTCTGCTAGCGTCAGTGTTGTACAACTATCAAAGCCCTACTGGAGTAGTTTATATTAGTTTAGCTGTAATTTGAGTGAACACCAACAAAATCTGTTATTTTAATCCAGTATGAATCTACCATGTCCAGTTTTTACAGGCCTACTAAGTAATAAATTGGGAGTGAAATTAGCTCCCTCAGTAATAGTGTTCAAACTGACATCATAGTCATGTAATGAAACCAGGTATAAAAATGTAAAACAGTGCTTTCATTTTTTTTTTTTTCTGCAACCTGAAGACGAGGCTAACTGCTAAACTGTTAAATCCTTCATGACAAGGCTACTGAAATCCACAGCATTTTTGGTGATGACAAAATTATAAGGAAAAAGAAAATTTAAATATCTCAAAGGCAACGTGATTTCTGTTTTGTTGGGAGTTGTTGTTTGCAAGTGTGACGCCTCCGTATAATACAGATGTGAATGTCTGTGCGATGACGCTTCGAACTGGGTTTTTGGAGTAACTTGGGGAAATTACACAGATCCCTCACCCTGTACAAATCAGTCAAATCATGTACAGATTACAACCTTGCACAGTAAAACTAATCCAGCTCATACAGGACTTTTCATGCTTTATTTCAATAAGCGTCAGCTCGCTTGTTGCCCGTATGCAGCATTATTTGTATTTTGACTGCTAAACAGCTTCATAATTAGTTTAGTTTAATTGTGTTTGTGAATGTTACAGTTTGCCCCTCTGGTGAAGGTTAACTGTTTGTTCACAAATGCAGATTATCAGAAGAAATAGAAAAAATATATTTTAGAAGAGATGTGTAGACTTTTTGAACTGTATACCACATTATAATATTTCTATAAATGATTCATCCTCCTCAAATATTTGTCAAATTATCTAACAAAAAAGTAAGATTTATATGGGGCATATTTTGTACTTATATTTTCACCCCAAGCATTTCTGATGTTATATAAGACCAACTCTCACCTGTAACGCTGATCCTGAATGTCCCATCTTCTGCAATACCATAACTGGTCACTACAGTGTAGTCACATTGGCCTTCATCAGAGACAGCAGTATCAGTGAGCAGTAAAGATGGATCATTTCTAGATGGAGGTTTAATTCGACCATCTCCTTTCACTGAACCATTCATGAACAAGAACCATGGTTCTGTCTCTCCTCTCTTAGTTACAGACACTGCAATAATAATAATAATTTCACTTGCTCCAAAAGTCTTCTTGAAAGAGCAGGAGATCTCTGTGGTCTGCTTAACGACTCCAACTGCCGGCTGACATTCCACACTGATCATCCCTGTTTAAACACGTTAAACAAAAGCACAAACACTGTTAAATGTTTCATGATGACAATATCAAGAAGAATGAAGCTTTCATAAAGAGTTATCATCATAACGAATTATGTTCTGGACATCAGCATGGACACTAAGGGCCAGATGGGCATTAGGTGTCAGTTTCAAATGGACACATTCAGCCAGTCTGATGTCTGAGACATAGTTTTATGATAGTTTTAAAAAGATTTTGACCTAAAATGTATTTTTAAATCCATTCATAGTGGAGGGATACATGCCCAGCATTTTGAGGCAAAATAGTCCCCAAAGAAAACATATTTTTCCTTTCAAACACTGAATTATGCATTAGCGGAACAGCGCTGTCTCATGTTCGTACATCTGGCCTTGTAAAAGCCCATTTCAGTGAGCTTTAGCAATCAGAGTAAATACTGGGATCTTCTGACTCACTGGTCTGAGTGTTTCCCAGAGAGAAAGACATCAGAGTGAGCAGAAGAACAACCTCCACAGCCATGATCTGTAGAAGAGAGAAGAGACAGAAATAACAATAATGGGCATTTTAATACTTCAGTGTGACCACCGTTCATCAGAAAACTACACCAGAAACCACAGAGAAGCACCACAGATCTTGGAGGATCTTCATTAGAAGGTAATGGGAAGTGATGTAAAGACATAATACAGAGAAATTCCCTTAAAGGAAACAAACGTAGTGTCCCCATCAGATCAAAACGTAGGTCCAGCTGTTCTTTACATTCATGATGAACAGAAACAGTCCAGAATTACTCGGTAGTAAATCTCATCACTTACAAATTACACTACCGATGTATTACTTTTTCTCCTCCTGCTTTTCCTGAAAAATTACCATAGCTGACATATGAGGTTTGGTTCCAACAGGCAAGCTTTATTTCTAACATGACATAGGACAAGTCACTAATGTAATGTTTTTATAATTACTGTAAATTTTCATTAATTTCATAACTGTAGTTTGGACAAACTGGTTCCTAAAAATTCTCATAATTCCTAAAGATTAATAAAAATTGCTCTGACTGGACTGTTCTGTGTCTTCTATATATATATTTACAAACATGACAAACAGTCTGTGACAATACCTGCTCTGTCAATTTTAACATCTAAACATATCATTTTATCTGTGATGACTGCACCAACCTCATCAATCAGTCTATAAAACAAAACACAGGCAGGAAGATAAAATGAACCTTCGTACAAATAACTTGGTCCTCATACTGATCAGTCTTAGCTACAAATGGGTCGGTCTTAACTCCACATGGGTCGGTCTTGGCTCTTTACGACAATTCGTGTTTGACTTGTTTTAGCCTCAGTGCTTATGTCAATGCTATGAAATGTTTATCTGTAATATCGTAGTGTAGGCTGCTCTCAGGAGAAACTCAGAGAAACTCATCAAATGTCGGTCCATTACTTTATTAAACTCAGCACAGAGCAGCACACAGAAAATGGAAAACACTGTTCTCAGGCCATGCTGGCTCTCACTGTCAGCCTGGATCTCCTGAAAATAAAGAGTCCCCAGAATGAAAAGGCTAAATTAAAGCTACAGAACAGAATAACTAAACTAAACTCAGGCGTGACCTGACGTCACAACATAAATAGTTTTCTGTACATCATCATGCCAGAAATTGCAGTAATTTCTGATTTAAAAATGAGTCGTGTCTGATCTTTTCCCTCTTTAATGTGATCTTACAGCCAGTAAAATTAAACACCCGTCTGGGTGAGAGGTAAGGTGGCACCATGAAGAAAAAGTGTTATGATGTCCTGAGCCTTTTGAGGCTAAGTTATTAATTTAATGAAATTTCTGATGAATACATGAGAATATAAGCGAATATCGGCATCTCTGACATTCATTGGTCCAAGAAACAGACAGCTCAGACCTCCATCTATAAATTAACTGACTGTACCTCATTTTTATCTGAAAAAGCAAATCTGCACAGATCAGCTTTGGGTTCAGTCAACATAAAAGAGCAAAGTGTCACACTTTTCAGGAGACTCACTTTCAGTTTCTCAAAGAAATCTGCAGACACACCTCCAAAGTTCAGTCTTAGAAGTTGGTTGATCATTTTCTGAAGTAATCAAACACATTTAGTGATCCTGAGGTCTGGACTCTGGGGTGGTCAGTCCATTGATCAGCTTCTTTGTTTGATATGTCTGTCTCCTTTTCTCAGTGATGCTTCTTGACAGCTACACATCCTTTCAGACCCATAGCGCTGAGTTGTCTTCTCACAGTGGAAGGATGGACAGAAACACCTGTGGGTGTTTTCAGATCTGAAGCAGCTTGATTTTCTCCTCTCTCTCAAAGATAGAAGCTTCAAGTGCTGTTTATCTGATGGGGACAGTGTCTACCAGGTCTTCCAGGTGGTTGTTATGAGTCTCATTTTCTCTGTAGCTTTCCGTTTTTGACTTTCAGTTTAATAACTTATCTTCTTTTAACTTTCTTCCTTATGCAGGTCGACTGCCTTACACTGGAAAAAATGGGTTTTTTTTGTCAAATGAAATAATCTTAAATCTAAATATATATTTCTAATTTTGTACATTTATTCTTATTTAACTCATTTCTAGACATGTTGTCTTGTGATTTTGTCAAATGAAATTCTCTCACTATGTTGGTAGATAATGTTTGTTTCAAGTAAAACAAGTAAAAATGTCTAGAAATAAGTTAAATAATCTTCTATTAAGTTTAAAACAATCTCAAAAAGAGAAATATTAAATTGACTAGATTTATAATTACTTTGTTGCCATTTATATCTACTCTCCTCAGAAATATCTTCTGAAAAATGAATAATTTGTATTAAATGTCCATTTTAACTGGAAATTAAATAAAAAAGGGCGATTAGTGTCTTTTGCACAGTGCTGTATACACATACACACACACACACACACACACACACACACACAGTCCAGTCAAATATTTGCACCTCTCATAAAAGGGTTATCATATCTGTGATTCTTTAGAATTTAGATTCTTCAGTAACCCACAGCAGTTAAACACCGATTTTTCTAAAATCCTTCATAATCCAGTGTGTGAGATGTAAACAAATGAAATGGTTCAGATTTCTTTACAGTAGTGCTGATAGGAACCAGGGGTCGCCATGACTACAACACAAATATAGACATTTTATTTACTGAAATGGCTGTATTTGTTAAAAAAACACAGCACACAAGAAGTTTCATATAAAGTGTATTTATTTCACATTAAACTGTTACAGTAATTTTGTACCATAGATCTGTAAATGAAATACAGCAAAGGCCAAAATGTAAGAAACTCCAAGAAAACAATTACAATATTAACAATGATTAGAAACAATGTCTTAGAAAAATAAAATACAGTCAGGTTCTCTTTAAAACACAAGGCAGAACCTTTAAAGTAGTTCATTAAAGGGCCCATACCCTACATTTCCCTGCTTTTTATTTCTTCTCCCTGAGGTCCACCTATTATGATTGTGAGGTTTTATGCACCAGTCATCATTCTTTTTTCAACTTCTATTTATCCGTTAGAATTAAACAGGCTCTCTCCCACGATATGGACCCTGTAAAGTGTGGGTGTTTTCTCTCTATACTGGCTAAATAACAGCACTGGTAGATTTTGGTGTTACAGATTCAGTGTCATTACTGCGTACCAGAAGAGACAGTTTACTATAAATGCAGTGGATAAATCTAGCAAGCACAACAGTTTGATTTTGATGTAGTACTGACAACCACAAGAGCTTCGTCTGTGTTTCAGTTTAGTGCTTAACTACCATCTTCTTCTTAATAAAACACCTGTTTTCTAGACCCAGATTAAGCCTAGAGAATTTCCAATGGTAAATCTCTTTTGACACTGAAGTTTAGTCCAAGATTAGACTTAATCCTCTGAAAGGAAACCACGACTTAATGTTTAAATTCCACATGTTTAATTTTTTTGCATAATTAAGTGGTTGAGATGTGAACATTTTGAGTCATTCAGAGTGGTTTGTTGTGAAATGCTCCTTTCTAGAGAATAGGAGGTGGTGACAGGAACCAGGCTTCCACCTCTAAAAGCTCTCACAGACAGTTATTACATGAAATGGTTATGAATACACTGCCTGATGTCTGAGACATTGATTTACGTCAATTTTGAGAAGATTTTTTGGCCTAAAATGTATTATTTAAAATCCATTCATGGTGGAGGGATACATGTAGGGTGCTGTGAGGCAAAACAATCCCCAAAGAAACTTTATTTAAATTAATTAATTAAATTATTTCAGATTTTCCACTATTTTCCCATCATTAGCATTCCATATAAATTCAGAAGACGTGTAGGTTCACTGGTGGTTTTGGATAGTAAATAAAATGTCTATATTTGTGTTGTAGTCATGGTGACCTCTGGGTCCTATCACCACCACTGTAACCATTTCACACCAAACCACTCTGAATCACTCTGTTTACACTTCAAAACACTGAACTACTCAGAAAATATGAACATTTTGTGAAATTGCCTTTTAAGCCTAGGCTAAAAAATGCTTCCTGGAGTGCAGTTAATGTTCTTTGGTTCTTAAAAGCACTTTAAATTTGAAGTGAGCTATAAGGAAAGGTGCTACATAAACGATGCAGGAGTGTATTAGTTGGGTTGGATTATATAGCTTATACACACAGTTTAATTTCTAAAAGAGTAATTTTTCAGATTACATTGTAGTCCACGTAGTGGAACAAGTCCCAACTCTCTAAGCAGAAACAGAAAAAAAAATATAAAAAATAACAATATAAAGTTTGAGTCTTTTCCCCCTTTTCCCACTTTAAGCGATTATGTTTATTGTTTTCACACTCACTTCATAAGCTATATATATTCACAGATTTATAAATGCTCCAGTGAAAAGCAGCTGACAAGATTAAAGTATATATCAAAATACTATTCAGATTCACAGAAAGCATCAGATTTGTTTTAAAAAAGAAGTGTTATTAAACTGCAGCAGGGGGCAGCAGCGAGCAAGAAGTCTCAGGCACTAATCACCGTTCCTCCCTTTAAACCTCAGTTATTGACAAAAATATGTGCACTTCTGCAAAGACAGGTAAATTTTTTTACTCCCCTCCATCTGTTTCCATGTGATAACACAAAATTCTTTAGTGTGTCATCATTTTCATGACTGAATATCAAAGCGCTGCCCAATTATTCAGTGGGACTTTCCATCTCAGGCGTCAGTAAAGTTTTAATTTCACTTTGGTTAAGAACTTAAAGCACATTAGAGCAGACTTTCACAAACACCACAGCCTGAATCAACAGCGTAGGAGGTCATAATCTCACTTCACATCACATTCCAGCCCTCAGACGCTGACAAGACTAATTCTGCTTCTTTAGTTTTAACACTGGAGCTACAAGGCTAATGTCGCTAACAAACACAAAGCTATTTTGTCTGAGAGAAAAATAACCATGTTTAGATAGATGGATTTTTTTTAACTCCTGTTTTCGATACTTCTAATATTTCTCATTTTGAGATTGCTGTACATTTCACTTATTTCTAGACAATTTAACTTGTTTTCAGTGATTTTATTTTTTCAATCATATTTCTTACAACAAGCATTATAAAGGCACGGCTGGGTGAGTTTGGTGTGGAAGAACTTGACTGGCCCCCACAGAGCCCTGACCTCAACCCCATCGAACCCCTTTGGGATGAACTAGAACGGAGTTCGTGGGCCAGGCCCTCTCGTCCAACATCAGTGTCTGACCTCACAAATGCTATTCTGGGCGAATAACCAACAGACACTCTCCAAAATCTAGTAGAAAGCTTCCCAGAAGAGTGGAAGCTGTTATAGCTGCAAAGGGGGGAACAACTCCATATTAATGCCTATGGATTTAGAATGGGAGTCATAAAGGCTCCTGTAGGTGTAATGTGTAGGTGTCTCAATACTTTTGTCCATGTAGTGTATTTTTCCTCTGCAGTGGCAGGGGAGATGAGCTGTTCCTTTAAAGAAAGATATGGTTAATGCAGAAGTGAGGAAGTGATTTTAAGAAAGCAGAAGTTCAATCTCGGGAAAAAAGAATGGAACTAGAAGTGTTTTATCAGCAAAAAAAAAACAAAAAAAAAAAATCAAACTTTACCACTTGACTGCCCAGTGTTAGAATGTTAGAATACTCTCTCTTCAGTGTAGTTAGCAAAATAACAGAAAGCTGGTTTATAATAGAGAAAACTGTAACTTGGTTTATAACAGAAGCCAATGGGAACCTGAACAGTGACTTCTATTATAAGTATGTTTAGAATCAACACAGAAGTAGATAAAAGTGTATCCTACAGACACAAGAGAAAAAGAGATTAAGTTGGAAGAATGCAGGAATTCTCTTTTAATGATGTCCTCGGTACGATGCTGAATTTATGTCTTCATTTCAGCGTCTCCGTTTGGCTTCAGTGGATTGTCTGCAACAAAAACAACAAAGAAAATAGGTTAAACTTTAAGGACCCCCTCATCACTGGCATGGACAGGTGAAGAAATATAAAGACCAGAAAGGCCCAGGTTAGAAGATATCATCTTAATGGCAAGTACAGGAACAGAACCATCAGACGAAGTATGTGAGAACCTGTGCAGATAAAAGCCTGTAAAAACAGCTCTCTAAACAGTTTAACAGGAGCATGAAGAATACCTGCTTCATCAGCATCAGTATCAGCATCAGCCTCAGCATCAGCCTCAGCCTGTCTGGTATGTCCAGGAAAACCCCCTAAAGAAAAGAACATTTCGTTTCTTTTTTATTTTAAGGAAAACTTTCCATGTTAAATGCATAAATCATGACGAAAACACATGCGGGTGTTAAATTTGAACCAGGTCATTGAAACTTTCCAGTGGAAGCAAAAATGTGTTCACTTTCACTTCTATCTATGAAGCTGGAAAGTCCAGAGGGAAAGTGAAGGGGTGTCTGTCAGAGGAAGAGGAAAGAGTAAACAAAGGACAGAGAAAGGGGGTTTTAGATAGCGTGCTTTGTTTTGGCACTTTGGCAGGCCACCCTCATCCCATACACATGTCGTCATGTGTAAAAGTTTGAAAACCCCTGGCCAAATTCCATGCTGTTGTTGATTTTCTTAGTGAAACTAGGTTAAAACATCCTCGACAGAGAACTTACAAACTCACAAGGACTTAAATGTGGCATTTTCTGCTAATTTTAGTGCACAATGTCTATTAATTTGCTGAGTTTAACAAAAAAAAAACACATTTTTAAAAATGCCATAGCTTTTTCCCAGAACCCCCCTAGAAATGTTGCTGTAGAGGATGTTTTCACTTATTTACACTGAGAAAATCAACAACATGAGAAATAGAAACTAGCACACATACACTGTCAGAAAAATGTGGACTTTTCCCCCTCAAACAATGTAAATGTACTCTCAAAATAAGTATTTTAGATCTTTAACAGTACACTACATTACTTTCCAAAGGAAAAAGTGCATATTCATTCCTTTTTATAACCTTTTCATATAAAAAATAAAATAAAAAAGCTTGGAGTCCAGAGAGAACTTTGAAACACTTTAAAAAACTATTTGTTTCCCTTTTTATGTTCCTTAACTCCACGTTTTTGGGCACAAAACCTTTCTGGGTGCCGTTTGTACCCAAATAAGTACATTTTATTACCTTATTTCCAGTGTCATTGAAGTGAAACATCACTAGCACCAAAAGCTATGTGAGTGCTGACAGCGTCCCTTGCTGGAGAATCACCAGCCTGCTAAACATGAGCGAGCGATCCATTAGGCTCTTTACATCTGAACATATATCTAAAATAAAAGAGCACTTTGAGAGAAAAGCACATATACAGTTGTATGCAAGTTTAGGAGCCCCTGGTCAAATTCCATGTTTCTGGTGATTTTCTAAGTGAAAATATATAAAAAAGTTAACACCTCTTTTACAGAGAATACACCACTGCACATTTAGCTAAAGATGAACATTTAACATTTAATTTCATTGAAAAAAAATAGTCTTGGCTACATTTTGGCACTTATATAGCACTTTAGAACTTTTGTTTTTTTGGCAAATAAATAGAAATTGTGCACTAAAATTTACAGAATATTGCCAATTTAAGTTTAACGAGGATGTGTTCACTTAATTTCACTTCAAATCAACAACTTTTACATACAACTGTAAGTGTGTCCTGTCAGGCTCTGTCTCTTACTGTAAAAGAGGATGAGCAGAATGTGCTTTATCATCATGCAAACTAATCACTGCTGATGCAACAAGAAGGCAAATTAGGATGGATTTCTTCTTAATAACATAACAGCCCCATTTCAGTCCATCATTTCCTCTAGAAAGTGGACAGAGTTGGTTTTGTGCTGGTTTCGGTTCTTTCAGTGGTGCTACAGAGGTAATGAAAGTCAGTAAGAAAGTTCATGTAATTAGAAGGCCATAATAAAGCCATCTACAATTTAACTTGGACCAAAGGACGACCAACAGGGTAGAAAATGACAGTGGGTTTACTCCTGGGAGAAGAACACAGAGCATCAGGAACAACAGAGGAGAAGAAACTGGTTTTAAATGAAGATATTAATCAGAAATTCTGAAGAATTTTAGAAACCAGAAAAACCACAGAGCCCAAAACCAGTTACAGAAACCAAAATAAAATATTTATAAGGAACATATTTAGAATAGGTTGAGCGGAAGGTCTTCGGGCTTCTGTTATTAAAATAAAAAATTGGTGTGAAATTACAGCCCAACCACTAAAATTGTGAAAATCAGCACTGAAGCCTGATCAATATGGAAAATATCAGCAACACAATACTGAGATAAAATACCAATAATCGATAATATTAGCTAAAAATAATTGAATGTGGTCAAATATTAAACAAACTGCAGCAGTTATAGTTAAACAGTGCTTTACTGACTGATAAACAGCTTCAACTTTTAAGGTTTTAAACAATATTAAACAAAAAATCTAAAACAGCACATTGACATATAGTCACTTACTCAGCCTATAGCAGTTTAGCCCCACCCTTTTACACTGAAGTTATTAGAAATGTTTTAGCAGAACTGCTTTATATATAAGGTAGCCAATCAGAACAGAGCTCATTTACATATATCAGTCTTAAAGGCACAGTAACAAAAACAGCCTGGTGAACTGTAATGTTATATGTGGACCTCAGATGAAAAAATATAAAATACAAATTGGATTTAACCTTATTATAGAAAGAAAGAAATCTCCTACAAATAAACATGCTGACAAAAATGTCAAAACAATACATGAAAACAATATTTATGTGTACTTTTTCTGGAAATGCAGACAAATCCATAGATTTCATCAGCCAAACAATGGATCAGTCAGGCTTTAATTAACAGAGTAATAAAGTACAGAATCAGGTGTAAAGCTGGAAAAAACAACCTGAGTTAAGTTTTCCTTACACACTGGGAGACCAGAGCTCTGAGAACTGTAATTAAAAAAGCTTTTCAGCATCCACCACCAAGCACAAAGCCAACATGTCTGCTCGCTACATTAATATCTTTCAAAAGGCTCATATCTTCAAGTCCACCTACAATGTTTCTGTGCTTTTATGTACCAAAAAACAGATGATGCCCTAATTGTAATTAAAGCCCAGCAGCGAGGTTGCTGAAATTTTCCCCTCTCTGCTATCACTGAAGACGGGCCGGGTCGCCTACAGAGCACTGCTAGTAGCCTGTTAATTAAGTAATGTTTTTTTTTTTTAAAGTTGAGGGTTGTCCCGTAGGGCAAGATTTCAACCACTACCCCTTGGAACTGAGTTAGGGTGACACTCGAAAACAAGGGGTAAAAAGAAGAAATGGGATTGGGCCAAAATGTCCATTTTGAAAGTGTTTACATGCTACATCAAAAAACACTGCAACAGCCTTTTAATGCGTCATATCCAAAACATCTACAAGCACCTGCATTAGCACAGCCCTGTCTCCGGTTTATATCTGAATCATCTCTGTAATTCCAGATGTCCAACAGCAGCTGAGTGTGACAGAGCGTCCTCTGGGAACGCTTTGAAGGTTTCTTGCTTTTGCAAGAACCGTGGCAAAGTGAGCCAAGCTGTACAACGTGTATGATTTCAGTCATTCTGGTCAGAATGAGGGCAAAAGTACAGCACTTTCTGTGTGCAGTATTGCGACACCTCAGCTTGGCTAGTCTGTCTCGCACAGTAACTACTTCCCTATTTGAGGCTTACGCAGAGAACATCGTGTGACAGTCATTCTTTCTGGGTGCTGCTGATACTTACGCTGAATGTGTCTTCTGCGGTACAGGAGGGCTAACAGGAGTCCCACGATGATGAGGCCAATGACTAACAAGCCAGCAGTAATACTGCCCCACTTAGTGCCTGAATGACCTTCACCACCTGAAAAAAGAAAAAATGAATAACCAACTTAATTCTGTTCCAGAGTTAGAGAGTGATCTTCTTTAGACACTGTGCAACAACCTTGATCAATAATGTGTCTTCAGCAGCAGGTTTATGTGGAGTGGAATACAAACATTGCTATCACTAGCTGCTGCTGAGCAGCAGGAAGAAGCACAGCCTTCAAAAAATGCAGCAGTGTGAACTAGCAAGAAAAATCTTGCTTTTTTACAAGGTACAAGGAAAATAAGGTTCACACAAAAGCACCACAGTAAAACAGCAACACAAAACAAGAGCACAAGACTACACATACACAAGACCTGGAGGTTAAGGGTGAAGCTAAGACACAAAAGGAGACAGATCAGGTCTGGGAAATCATGATTGTTATCTCTAAAACAGATCAAGAACATAGCATAACTAAAAACAAGAGTGGCGGCTATCTTGAAGTCTTAACTGTGCAGTTTGATTAGACTGAAAAAGTAGAACTAAAGATTTTGGTTTGATAACATCTGAATAAACACCTTTAGAGTCAGAGACATGCTTTACCTGTTTCCTTATCATATCATAATCCTTGCTAGCTAACACTGTAAGTAGGGTTGTTGAGTCAGCCTGAATTTTGATATGCTGAGTTCACATCCTGTTTAGGATAAAATTTGACAGATCCTACATCAGTACCCCTTCTTTCACACCTACTGTTAAGCTTTACAGAATGACTGTTCTACAGTTTCTCATTAGATTGAATGAATAACTGGCTCTAAATGTAGGTATTGTGATATAAACTGAGTCTGTTCTACAGCTTCTCATTAGGTTGAATGAATAACTGACTCTAAATGTAGGTATTGTGATATAAACTAATATGAAGAGGTAAAGTCAACTCACTCAGCACCACCTTTTTATCTTCACACTTCATATTACATTCCTGCTAGAACTTCCAGAAAGAAATCAAACAGTTACCTGTGAACTTCAGAGGGAACGTGCTCTCCCATTCTTGGACGAATTTGCTGTTGAGAACAACACACCTGAAGGGCTCCGAGCTCGAGTCAATGCTGCTGAAGATCAGTTTGCTGGACAGATGTACCAGTTTGTCCTCTCTCTCTGTGATCTTCAGTGTGGCGTTCTTCGTCCAGTTGGTGTTTTTGCTGCCAAACCAGTGAATGGCTCCTGCTGGATAGCCACCACTAGCATTGCAGTTAAGTTCAGCAGGGCCGCCCTCTTCAATCTTTTCTGGCCATGAGCTGATGGATGGTGGGTTGTACTTGGCTAAACAGAGAAAAGACATGCGGTTTTGAGTGAGTCCTGTTAAAAGGCTGTGTAGCATTTCAACTGCTGTAGTGGTTCTCAGTCATGGTCCTCCATGTTTTAGCGTTTTCCCTGCTCTTATACACCCAGTTCTACTCAAGAACTTGTTAATTTAATCTTTACTTGCAGGAACGTTGAACGAAAGGTAGTGTTAGTCTAGGACCAAGTTTGAGAAACACTGACATAGAACCTTTACATTATTACATTTCAAAAGGTTGAATATCCCATTTGCTTAAAGGGGCATTCGACTGTGAAACTAGCATATAATCCACCTTATCCCTGTGCCCCATCACGCTTTAAGTGGCTTATGAGCAGAACTTCCTGTGAAGCATAAACATACTATATACACTATATGGCCAAAAGTTCGTGTACAAAAGTTCAAGCTCATCCAAAGCTTGATGCCAACACCCAGCATGCCTAGTTTTTAAACTGGAGGCTACTCTGTCATGGTAGGATGTGATTTAGGCTTGTTTACAACAGATGTAAAAAAAAACTCGTTCTCCTACAGCACCATCTGAAGGAACCCTTTTTTTCGACTTTATTCTCAAGTGAGATGTAAAGGATTCCATTCATTCAAACTAGCAGGAATTCAGTATAAACATACAAAGCTGATAGTCTGACCCTGCAAATCACAAGATGCTTTAATTGCTGAGTCAAATGAAAACAGAAAGTGACTCTGAGGTCCCATGTGACACTGTGTACTCTACTAACAGCTCGCACTAAAGCCTCTAAGGATTGCATTGCTGTGAGGATTTGGTTGCATTCAGTTGCAAGAGCATTAAGTAAGGTCAGGTACTGATGTCGGATGATTAGTGAATCACTCCAACTCATCCAAAAAGTATTGGAGGGAGCTCCATCACTCCACTAGCACTACTTATTTGTTGTATGAAGTAGTGAAGTATTCTATTGCTTAGCATTGCAACCTTCATAATTTTGAATCATTTTTGTGTTTTTGTCCAACAATGTTTCTCACTTCTCACTACCATACCCAGCATGCATTACCCAAATTCGACATACCTTATTGGTCTAATAGTCTTTTCCTAGTCAAATTTTATATATATATATATATATATATATATATATATACATGTAAAATGAAAACACGCAAGTTAAATCATTTATATTCATAGTTGAAGCAGCTCATGGCCCTGGATTATAACTAACTTGCTCCTCATGTTTACCAGTCTGACGTCTCTCCACAAGGGGGTGTTATTAAAATCCCGTTTCCAAAAATGTTGGGATGCTGTGCAAAATGTAAAAAATAGAATGCAATGATTAGCAAATCATTTAAACCCATTATTTAAATGAAAATAGTAGACAGACAACATAACAAATGCTGAAAATAAGAAATTTTGTTGTTTTTTTGAAAAAAATATGCCCATTTTAAATTTGATGCCAGCAACATGTTTCACACAAGTTGGGACAGGGGCAATAAAAGACTGGTAAAGTAGCATATTAGTAAAAAAACACTTGGTGGTTAATTGACAACAGGCCAATAACATGACTGGGAGTAAAAAAAGCATCTCAGAGAGGCCGAGTCTTTCAGAAGTAAAGGTGGGCAGGGTTCACCACTTTGTGAAAGACTGCGCAGGCAAAGAGTGCAACATTTCAAGAATAATTTTTCTCAACGTAAAACAGCAAAGAACTTGGGATTTAATCATCTATGGTACATAATAAAATTAAAAGATTCAGAGAAATCTTTGTATGCAAGGGACAAAAATACAATACTGGCTGGCTGTGATGTTTGAGTCCTAAGGCAGCACTGCATTACAAACAGACGTGATGGAAATGACTGCATGGTCTCAGGAACACTTTTGAAAACCACTGTCTGTGAACACTGTGTGTCGCTGCATCCACAAATGCAAATTGAAGCTCTACTCGTTTCTACCATATAGAAACAGGATCAAGAAATGCTGCCGCTTCTGGGCCCAAGCTTTGAAAACTTTGAAACTCTTTTTGGAAATCATGGATGCCGCGTCCACCCAGCTTGTTATCAGTACATAGTTCAAAAGCCAGCATCCATGATGGTTTGAGGGTGCATTAGTACACATGACATCGCTGGCTTGCACATCTGTGAAGAAACCATTAATGCTGAATGATATATACAGGTTTTGGCAACATAAGCTGCCATCCAGGCAACGTCTTTTTAAGGGAAGGCCTTGATTATTTCAGCAAGACAAAACCAAACCTCATTCTGCATGTATTACAAAAGCATGGTTCTATAGTAAGAGTCCAGGTGCTAAAATGGCCTGCCTGCAGTCCAGACCTGTCACCCACTGAAAACATTTGGTGCAGAAACACGGCAAAGTAGACCCTGAACTGTTGAGCAGCTGAAATCCTATTTCAAGCAATGTGAAAATATTTCACTTTCAAAACTACAGCAGTGTCTCCTCAGTTCTTAAACGCTTACAGAGTGTTGTTAAAAGAAGAGGTGATAAACAGGCCCCTGTTCCAACTTTTTTGGAATGTGTAGCTGGTATCAAGTTCAAAATGGGCATATGTTTTCAAAATAAATAAAACTTTTCAGTTTCAACCATTGTTGCCTTTGTACTATTTGCAATTAAATAAAGGGTTTACCTGATTTGCACATCACTGCATCCTGCTTTATCTACATTTTGCACAGCGTCCCAACTTTTTTGGAAACAGGGTTGTTTGTGGGTATTATTGAAAGCTGTCAGCTTGATGGCAATACCCAGCATGCACTGCACATCATTCAACCACTGGGAATACATCCTACTGCTAACATAGCCACTGATGTAGCGACTAATAAACAAGAGATATATTCAGCTTTTAGGCTGTAACATTAGAAGTCTGGCTTCTTTCTTTATCAGCCAGCTAGTGGCCCAAAAACAAACAGCTGCCCTTAAGTATCCGCTCAACTCTTTTTTTTTTAATTCCTCTGACCTTCGAGATCAATCATCAGAAATGGCCTCAGAAGGGGAGGATGCCTACTTTTTAAACCAGAACATTTTACTCTAGAGACCACTCTAGGATGTGATTAGGCTTGTTTACCACAGATGACATTTTGGCTGGAATGCCCCTTAAAGGATCTACCTATTGAAAATTTCCTTAGGAATAAAAGTGGTTCTCCTACAGAACCGACCGAAGGAATCCTTTAACCCTTAAGTGAGATATACAGGATTCCTTTCACTCAAACTAGCAGGAATTCATCGTAAATACACAAAGCTGACACTCTGACTGTATGAATCATGAGAAATTTCAAACCACTGAGTTAAATTAAAACAGAAAGTAACTCTGAGGGTCTGTGTGAGGAACAGAGAACACTGTGTTCTCTAACAGCCTGAACTAAAGCCACTAAAGATCACAAAGTACACAAGTATTTTCTGTCTTTCCAAATCAACTTGTGCATGTGTTTCAGAGCACCAACAGGACTCCCTGTTCAATAGCCTTATTCTCCTCAGATATCTGAAGTCATGATGTTATTCTGCAGTTGACATTATACTCAAAATTGGACCTCCAGGTCAAAGCTAGTTTCCGAAGTCAAAGTCAGCTTTAGTGTCATTTCTTCTCACAAATGTAGTTTTTCCAAGACACAGCACTACATCTCAACACAGAACAGCAGCAAACAGAAAATAAATGCCAAAAAATATAAACAAACCACACTCTTAAAAAGATGATGGTTTTATATAGAACCAAGAATTGCATGATTGAATGGTTCTTTTCATCATTAAATGGTTCTTCTGATTGACGGAGAATGTGCTGTAGATGGTTCTACATTGAATCTTTTTGGAAAAAGTTCTATATAGCACCAAAAATGGTTCTGCTATCGTAACAATGTCAAGCTTGTAGCAATAGAAGGACCCTTTTTGGTGCAACAGACCAGCTGTTGGTCCACATCAGGACTGATAATAAAAAAGGGACTGTGCATATTAAGCAAGAGATGCTAACGTTTCACAAAAGTAAAGTGGCTGAGCGAAGAAGGTAGTGCAGCAGATGATAGTGAACGGTAAGACTGAGGTCAGGGGTGGCACCACACCTCCAAAAGTGGTGGGGCAAAACATATTGTTTAAAAAATAAATAAATTAATAAAAAATTTAAAAAAGAAGTTGGCAGAGTGATAAAATGTAATTAGGCCACTGACTGGATAATAACTAGTTACATTTACCCAAGTACATGTACTTAATTAAAATACTGATGGATTCTTACTCTCGAGTAAAAATCCATGAATTTAGTACGAATTTAGACATTCATATTTAGATACTAATTACATTTTTTGTGTTTAATTTCAATTTGTTTTGATGGTGGTAATATTTGTACAGCTGTGTGACTGGTTACATCTCTGACTTTGGAGCTTTGTATTTTAGACCAGAAAACAGAAGAACAGAGCTGCACAATCTTCAGCTTCTATGCTGATAAATGCTGAAAGTTCCACTGCAGTACTCAGTACTTAAGTAGATTTTCCACATGTTACTTTTGAGGAAGTTATTTTGAGGAAGGTACTTTTACTTGCGTAATGTTTTTATGCAAGTATCAATACTTTTACTTGAGTACTGATTTAGGCTCCTCTACCCACCTCTGAACCTGATCATGAACAGTGTCAGTGTTTGTTTTGATGCTGCTTCAGTAGCTGCAGCCTCAGATAGCAGTATTTGTTAGTCAACATCTCTGAAGAACATCAGGCTGTTTTCATTCCCAGTTCATTTTCTAAAGACCCACCACAGTTTGATTTAAATGTGATATGTTATCTCTTTTATTTGGTTCAGATAATAGACTGCAAGGGCTAAAGTGGACTAAATTACATGTGTGTTTTTGTTTATTGATCAGAAGTTTTGTAGGGATGTAAGCACTCTGTCACTCTCACATTCACCACCATGAAAACAGAGAAATAGAAAATAGAGATGCTTATCATCTTTGTGTATACCAATGCAAATTTAACCGATCAGGTGACAGATGCTTGGCCAAAAATTTGCTCCACGATCCATAATCAAACGCATATTATTATTTTATTGCTTGCTTTTCGTTATTTACAGCAGCTCACAGTGCAGAAACATTATGAACGTTTGTAAAGAGTGAAATGTTGAAGCAGCAGATTGTGCAACAGTGCAACAAAAACATGCTCTGGTGCTGAATTCTGAACTAGCGCAGTTCAGTTGTTTGCTACAGATCTGAATTTGGACGGAGTCGCATGTCAAAACCGAACCAAAGAAAAAGTTGGGCAGGTCCGCACCAACCAAGACAGGTCTGAAAGCTCCTCCCAGCCGAAATAGAGACTCTGATTGGCTCTGCCGCTCAGTTTTAAACTGCATTTTCATGCTGGTCAGCGCTTCATGCAGTTCTAAACTCAAAAAGTAGTGGGGTGTCGGCTAGTACTTTAAAAAGCGGTGGGTCAAATGTCTGCTTGCCAACATGGAAATGAGAATGTTTAAATCAGGTAGATCCGTTCAGCAGTTTGCCTGCCTGTAGGAAGAAACTGTTTATGAGTCAGGCGGACTTGGCCTTCTGGGGACAAATGGACTGTAGTGGCCCACTACTCAGGAGCTCAGGAGGCGTGGCAATGTGAGCAGCCACACACGGAGGCTCACGGTAGGTGCGCACACTCCTAAAAAGGATTGTTTATGTTGCTTAAGCTTAAGTTGTGTATACATGTTATTTGTGTTGTTTCGTGTCAGGATGTGAATTTAGTTCAGGTGTTTTTGTGTTGGGGGTTGATCACTGTAAGGGTGAAGCCTGTAGGTAATGTCCCCCATGGCTTCAGGCTTCTGTGTGTGCCTTTCTGCCCTGGTGTTTAATAAAGAGGACTTCTTGTGGTGGAGTCATGGCCTCCCCTGTGTCCATAAAGAAGGCTGCTAAGACCTGGAGTTCCTAATATGGTGCATGACACTGACTGCAGAATGACAACACGACTTCAGAGAAGGGGTCTGCGTTACATCTTGCAGCTCAGGGCTATTTTTCTGTATGATGCGCAGGAGTAGGACAACACACACATGTACAGAAATTAATGAACAGCCTCAACATGTTTACAATCACTTAATGATTACCACATATAAATAACATCTAACAGCAAAATAATAAAATTTAATCAACTGACAGTAAATCAACAATGAAACAACCAATGACATGAATGACATGCAAATTTGCATTCTTTTAGACTACAGAGATAGTGGAGCCTTCAGACAGACAGACAGACACAGCTGTGTAAAGAGCTCTTAAGAATACAGATATATACAGAAATGCATCGGCTACCACTCTCAGATCTTTAGACTCTGTACTCCACTCTGCTTTAAGACTCATTACTGGTGACCCTACACTACTCATCACTGTGTACTGTATGAAAAGGTGGGCTGGTCATCTCTGGTTGTGCATCAGCTTCTTTTTATCTATAAAGCTCTTACTGACCGTAGGCCATCGTACATCACAGAAATGCTCAGTGTAAATAATGTAGTTTATCAGACTTGTTCCAGTGATTGGATCAGCCTTCAGGTGCCGAGAGCTTTTACTGAATTTGGAAAATCTGCTTTTAGCTGCAGCACCCATGAGCTGGATTTCACTAATCTCTAAACTATTTTAAACTTAGTCTCTAACCACCTCCACTCAGCACGACACTGTTTAACTTGATTCTAGTTAACTTTTAATATTATAATATTAAACTTTTACTTTTTAGTTACTGCTGAGTTATTGTTTTACATTTCTATTATTTTATTTATTTTATTAACTATGTTTTTATTATTTTATCCCTTTTGGATTTGTCATTTATTAATTGAATTATTAAAGTTATTTTATTTTTGAAATTTTAATTGTTTGTTCTGAATTGATTAATTATTTTTATTTTTAAATGTACTATTATTACTATTATTATTATTATTAGTAGTAGTAGTAGTAGTAGTAGTAGTAGTATTTGATATGTTTTGATAATCTAATGTTTTCTTGGCTACATTGAAATGAGGGCCACCCTCAGTGTACTCTGAGTTTAAATAAAGGTTGATTGACTGATAATCGTCATTCACCTCAGAGTGATTTTGATGATCCAACATTAAAAAAAAAGGTTTAACGTTTTTGTTGCTAAATGATTCTGTGACACTTTTAATATAAAAACACCTGCAGTGTCCACAGAGGAAGATGTCTTCACTGTACCCTAAAAACACATCTGGTTCCAGAATGGTCATCTTCTCATATTCCCACAGCATCGTTATCTGTAAATTTTCTGAAGTACAGCCTCCACATAGCCTGGGGTTAGTTCAGAACACTGAGCTGAGAGCCCCGAAGTACACAGTCATTTAGAGAACTCCATATAATATCCCCCAATATACATTTACAACAGGTTATTTTAGAGAAGTTTATATACAGATTCATCAGAAATGAACTACAGGTGTTATAAAATACATTTCAGTTTTATCGTGCTGATGTTTGTTCTACAATGTGGTCAGTTTGAGCCTCTTTACACTAATTAGTTATTTTGATGCAGTTATTTTATGTATATTAGGTTTGAAAGCTTGTTTGGATAAAACAACATAGCATTATAATGAGTAAATTGCATTTGCATTGCATTTGTTCAACTTTCAGCTGAATTGTTCACAAATGTAGGTGCTTGAATTTTCTTTTTAAATTCTGTAGCAGAGATGTGAAGGTGGCTTTTATACAAATTGTTAGTTTTGCTCAAATATTTCTAAAATTGTTTAGCAAAAAATGAAATGAGTTAGATTGTGCCCCGCCCTTCCCTAATGTGTGTTTAAAAAAATATTTCTGACACTAAACAAGGTCAGCTCTTACCTGTAACGCTGATCCTGAATGTTTCTTCTTTAATGCCATTAATGGTTACAACAGTGTAATCATATTGGCCTTCATCAGAGACAGCAGTGTGAGCGAGCAGTAAAGATGGATCATTTATAGAAGGAAGTTTAAATCGATCATCTCCGTAAACTGTATTATTCTTAAACCAGAACAGTGGTTCTGTTTCTCCTCTCTTAGTTACAGACCCTGCAATAATAATAATTTGACTTGCTCCAAAAGTCTTCTTGAAAGAGCAGGAGATCTCTGTGTTCTGCCCAACAACTCCAACTGCAGGCTGGCATTCCACACTGATCATCTCTGTTTAAACACATTAAACAAAAGCACGAACACAGTTAAATGTGCCATGATTACAAAATTGAAAACAATAAACCAGTCATGAAGAGTTATCACCTTAAAAAAATATGTTCTGGACATCAGCGTGGACACTGTTGGCTCCAGTTTCAGGCACAAATGGATGCAATCAGCATAAATGCTCAGCCATGTACATGTAAATGCATCTGATTAAAAGTGCAGCCGATTTTTTGAATTTATTGTATATAATGATGACAGACATAATCACACCTCTAAGTGCTACTTCCTCTGTTAAAGAGGAATTTCATTGAATTTTCAAAATTTATCCATAACTCAGTGTGTGAGGTGTAAACAGAATGATTCAGAGTGTTTTGGTGTGAACTGGTTGATTTTAGAGACTTGGATTTCTTTACAGTGGTGGTGCCTGATGTCTGGGATATTGTTTTATATTTGTTTCGAGAAAAATTAAGATAAAGATAAATTGTTGACCTAAAACACACTCCATTCATAGTGATGAGATACATGCAGTGCAGTGTGAGGCAAAATAGCTTATTATTTCAGATTTTCCACTATTTTCCCATCATCAACATTCCACATAAAACTCAGAAGACACGTGTAGGTTCACTGGTGTTTTTGGATAGTAAATAAAATGTCTATTTTGTGTTGTAGTCATGGCAACCCCTGGTTCCTATCACCACCACTGTAAAGACATCTGAACCATTTCACACCAAACCACTCACACACTGAAATATGCAGAAATTTTGAATTTAATGCATTAAATTCCATTTAATGCTGCGTCGTCTAATGTTCGTACATCTGGCCTTGTAAGAGCTCATTACAGTGAGCTTTAGCAATCAGAGTAAATACTGTGATCTTCTGACTCACCACTCTGAGTGTTTCTCAGAGAGACAGACATCAGAGTGAGCAGCAGAACAGCCTCCACAGCCATGATCTGTAGAAGATAGAAGAGACAGAAATAACAATAATGGGCATTTTAATATCTCAGAGTGACCACCAATCATCAGAAACTACACCAGAAACCACAGAAAATCACTGCAGATCTTGGAGGATCTTTGTTAGAAGGTGATGGGAAGTGATGTGGAGACGTAATACAGAACTCTATCAGATCAAAATGTCATAGTTTTTTTTTTTTGTTTCTTTTTTGTTTTGTTCTTTCTTACACCATTTGAAAACTCCAGCAGTTCTGTATGTTATGCAACAACTTCATGATAAATGGACCAACAGAAAAAGTATAAGTTTACTTGGAATTAAATCTTTAACTTTTTCTCCTCCTCTGAAAACTTACTACTGCTGATACATGAGGTTTGGTTCCAACAGGCAAGCTATATTTATATCATGAAAAAGGACAAGTCAGCCATGTCACATTACATAGTCATTGGAAATAATTTCCCTAAAATCTAAGTTACTTCACAATAGTAGGTTTTACTTGGAAATGTGGTAACATGAAATTAGAGCACAAAAATCCCATAATTACAATATTTAAGAGAAATGTTTTCTGTGCTTAGTCTTCTCAATGAAGTACAAAAACTACAAACATGACAGATGGTTCATGATAAAACCTGCTCTGTCTGTTTTTCCTTATCAAGACAATTTATTAAAATATCTAAAGTTAACCTTTTATCTGTGATGACTGCACCAACCTCATTGATCAGTTTGAAATCAAATTCACAAATTATTTTGGATTATAAAGAACTTAAATCAGAATAAATAACTTTTTTCAGTATGTATCATCTGTCATGTCTGTATGAATGGAACAGGTTGCATTAAAGTGCACTCTAAACATTACTGTAATTATACAGTAAAAACTGACAATAAGACTTTCTTAAATCAGAGTATGTTACTGTGTTCTGCTCTGAATTCTGGGAACTGATGTCCATTCTTACCAGTTTACTCCATAATTTACAAAGTTAACTATCATAGAATTCCTAACTAAAATGATATTCACAGAAATTAATATGATTTGGTCTAATGTTGATTATACATCTAGTTTTTGTTTACTTTCTATACTCTTTAGCTGTAAAGACATGTCGAGTATTACTGTAGATACACAGGAGCAGACTGTGTGTTAACAAGACCTACAATTTTAATGTTGTCAAATTATAATAACATTACAGTAAAATCCCTTATAGCTATATTTTTGAACATATTAATACATGTGCCATATATGTGAGGTTTCAAAATATATGTGCTGAACATATTTAAAAGTGCCATTTTAGCTATTTAAACAGTATATGCACATACAGTTGTACGAAAAAGTCAAATAACATGTTTTGTTGATTTAGTAAGTGAAAATAGGTTAAACTTAGCTTTAATAACTTAAATGCAACATTCGTTTGCAAATTTTAGTGCACAATTTTTATGTATTAAACTTCTATTTAGTTTAACATACTGGAAAAAAATTAACATAATATATGCCATAATGTCAGCAAAGAAACAGTACTTGTGCATTCAAATTTGCAGAAGTGTGCCTCTGTAGAGGACATGAAACTTACTTACACTTACACTTGTGTTAACCCCTTACATGACAATGGGCCCACAGATAGGCCCAAACCTTTATTACACTGTTCTATGAACTAAAAATAGTTCAACCAGTTTGCACTGAAGTCCCTGTAGTTACTGAATAATAAGCCGTAGTGTGTAATAGGACTGGGACTTTAAGGGGTTAATTTACTTACAAATCAACAAAAAACAAGGAATTTGACTGAAACTTTAATGATTGACTGCATGTTAAATAAATAAACAAATAAATAAATGTATTTCTACAATGTTTACTTCCAGAGATATATAAAACAAACCAATATTTAAATGATATAGATATTTAATTTATTTACTCTGAATGTCATTAATTCAAGTCCTTCAAGTTCTCTTATTTAGGTCACTCTTTCAGTTTCTGAAGGGAAAGTAGGATAAAAGGTCAAGAGTTCAGACTCTTGGGCAATATTAAGAGAAGCTGGACACAGTTTGCGACAGTCTCAGCAGGTCAGTGTCCATCATACAACCAAGTCTGAACATCAGGAAGAATCATAAACAGAAAGGTCACAGACAAACATACCTAAAGTTTACAATACGCCTGCCAATTATTCTATACTGGGATAAAATAAATAACTCCTAATCCCAGGAATGTTTCCTGGCCCTGTTTCAGTACTGTTTTCAACATGCCCTCACAAACATCAGCTTACTGCGGTTAGCCTCAGTGCGCTAATCAGCTAAGCATACAAACCTTGTAATGCAGCATGTTTTCTTAGAAACCTGAACATAATCACCTCTAAAAGCCTTATGGGAACAATTGCTTCATTGCTTTGTCTGGCTGTAATCTGATTTAGAACCGTGCTGTAGTGCCTTTATTTTTGTTGTTAACCATGTAGCCTTTAGCTTGCAAACTAGTAAGTTAGTAGAGTAATTAAGTTGCATCAGCAGTCATGTATAACAGATAAAGTAGCTTGCAACAGTTTGAATACAGCAAATTGAATGTTATAGTTTTGAAATATCAAGTATTTTATTTTTTATTGTTCATTGGCAGCTTTGTATGTCATTTCTGGGGTATCTGAAAAGGGAAACGCATTAGTTCACAGTGATTTCTAAGTACGTTCTGCTGCCGAAGTTGACATGTGTTAACTCGATCCCTCCGAGGGCTCGTCTAGTGGCATAGAAGAACCTCTTTTGTGTCTATAAATAACCTTTTAATGGAAGAATCCAGATCCACACATACACTCACCAAGCACTTTATTAGTAGCATCTGTACACCTGCTCATTCATGTAATTATCTAATCAGCCAATCATGTGGCAGCATTACAGTGCAAAAAATCATGTTGATACGAGCAGCAGGTTCAGGTACTGTTCACATCAACCATCAGAATGAGAAAAAACGTGATCTCAGTCATTTTGACTGGCATGATTGTTGGTGCCAGATGGGCCGGTTTGAGTGTTTCTGTAACTGCTGATCCCCTGAGATTTTCACACGCAGAGTCTCTAGAGTTACTCAGAATGGAGCAATAAAGAACAAACTTCTAGTGAGCAGCAGTTTTGTGGATGGAAACGCCTTGTTGATGAGAGAGGTCAGCAGAGAATGGCCAGACTTGTTCGAGCTGAGAGAAAGGCTATGCCTACTCAGATAACCACTCTGTACAGTTGTGTTGAGCAGAAAAGCATCTCCGAATGCACAACATATCCAACCTTGAGGTGGATGGGCTACAACAGCAGAAGACCACGTCGGGTTCCACTTCTGTCAGCCAAGAACAGAAAGCTGAAGCTGCAGTGGGCACAGGCCCACCAACACTGGATATTTGAAGACTGGAGAAACATAGCCTCGTCTGATGAAGGCATACAGATGGTAGGGTCAGAATTTGGCACCAACAGCATGAATCCATGGACCCAACCTGTCTTGTGTCAACAGTCCAGGCTGGTAGAGGTGGTGTAATGGGGTGGGAAATTTCTTGGCACACTTTGGATTTGTTAACACCCATCATCTCTTGAATGCCACAGCCTGTTTGAGTGTTGGTCTGGTTGCTGACCATGTGCATCTCTTCATAGCTACAATTTACCATCTTCTAATGGCTTCATCCAGCATGATAATGTACCACGCCACAAAGCAAAAGTCTCTCAAACTGGTTTCATGAACATGACAATGAGTTAATTGTTCTTCAGCGACCTTTCCAGTCACCGAATCCGAATCCAATAGAACACCTTTGGGAAATTGGGGGATGAGAGATTCCCAGCATGAAAACACAGCTGAACTGCATGATGCAATCGTCAACATCGAGCACAATCTCAAAAGAATGTTTCCCATATCCTGTAGAATTCAGGTCATGAAGAACTGAGGCTGTTTTGAGAGCAAAGGGAGGCCCTACCCAGTATTAGTGTAGTGCTCCTAATAAAGTATTCAGTGAGGCAAATATTTCCATATTTGTTTGAGATACATGTAAATATTAAAAACTGACACTAATACAAATTACTGGCATGTTTCTTAAAAATAAGCTAAAATGAATATCTAACGTAAAGCACATACGCAGTAATATTTGGACTTAACCAAGTATGTAAGCTGCATAGTTTTATTTTTACACTGCTTTGGAACAAAAAAAGGATTCTTTAATGACACTTCTTTTTTTATTTAAAAATATTGGCACCCCCATGTTTATTATTTGGTGAAACTTCCCTGGAGAGAACAACAGCACTGCACTAACAGCCCTTTTCAACACACACCACAGGTTTTCAGTTGGGTTCAAATATGGAGGCTAAGATGACCATCGCAAAACTCTGATTTTGTGTTCCCACGACTCTTTCTGTGTACACTGTGATGCAAGCTTGGGGTCATTATCTTGCTGAAAGGATCGCCCATGGCCAAGTTTCAAACTCCTGGCAAAGGCAGAGAGATTTGGGGCTGAAATCTCCTGGTATTTAGTGGCATTCATTATGCCACTGATTCTCATAAGAGCCCTGAAAACTTAAAATCATGCGAACTTATTGTTACTTTTCAGTGATCTATATTCAGGGCTGGGATGTAACAGAAGACTGGATTGGATTGGAAATACATATTCAGAATACAGATATTAAGTATCCATATTTAGTCCAACTCATTTTGTAAAGGCAGCATTCAGAACACAGTTACTTTTGACATTTTTAGGAGAACACTTTTAGAACATTCACCCACTAAATAAAAAATAAATCTTCAAAAGAATTACCATCAATGCTTGTTTATTAAATATTTTAAAATCAGTACACGGCATAAAGCGAACATGCTCAGATGAATTCTGAAGAGGACCTCAATTAACAGCTTCTTATTAATCTCACTGTTATTGAGCTCTGCTAAAGCCTGAGTAGATGGATAAATCAGTGTGATCAGTTATTAATCTCAGTGTTACAGAGCTCTGCTAAACCCTGAGTAGACTGATAAATCAATGTGATCAGTAATTAATCTCAGTGTTACTGAGCTCT